CTTAATTATCCTAAACAATTTGTAATAATAGTTTTCAAAGATTTGAATCTTATATTACATTTTAAAAATGAGTGTTGCATAGGTATAGTACCTTAAACAAGAGTAGAAACATATATGCAGTATATTGTAACAAAAATAACTTTAACTCAGTATCAATATACAAAAATCCATACCAATCTAAAGTATTTGAGACTAGTAGTTTCTTTTTAATTTAAAAGTAGATTCAATAATCTACCCTATTATTCCTGAACTCAGCATCTTAGACCACTCGGCCATCCTGACATTATGCTATTATTCCTATATTCCCTCCTTTCTTACTTTTCATTCCCCACCCTCTTTCCCCCTACAGTAGATAGGAAAGAAAGAAAGAATAGGATAAAGAGAGAGAGAGAGAGAGAGAGAGAGAGAGAGAGAGAGAGAAATACAAGAAACAAAGAAAGGAAGATAGAAAGAAGAAAGGAAAGAAAGAAATCTTTTAACCTTCTTTGCTTAGTTTCCTCCCTGACCATGACCAGTAACAACTTGCAACCAATACCTTAAACAACGACAAACATCCATAAACCACCAAAGACCAAAAACCACCCATTCACCTCTCAGGAATGTGGGCATTATGTTCTTAAAATTGTTTCCTGTTGTTTAGGAGCAGTGGCATCTTTAGGGGACCCTAAGAAAATTAGGATAATGGTCAAGTCTTGGGAGAGCAACTGTATTATTTGTCTTCTATTCTCTGTGTGACGGGAAAGTGCAGGGCTTAACTGAAGTCCTGGCTTGAGTAGTCTGTGAGGCTGGGTCATCTTAGCTAACTGCTTTGAAGTTGTCCCGGATGCAGAGTTTTGAGGAAATGGCAATAGAGGCATTCTGAGAGGCTGGATCTCCTGGGCCATCTGTCTTGTCTTCATTGGTGTCTGGTCCTTTTGTTCTGAAAACATACGAACTTTTAAAGGTACCATATATATCTTCATCAATACAAATATGGAATATGTAGTGTGCACACATCAACTAAAGATGGTTTTCTATTCTATGTTTGATCAGGTAAAAGGTATGTTCCAACTGTGTAAGTTTGTTTGAACTGTATAACCAAACTGTCATGAGGACTCTGTAGCCAACAAAATTTATCATCTTATCCAACTCAGAGCTGTTCTCATGCAGAGGGATCAGAATATATGTCAGCTGTCTTGTTGTCTTTCTTGGTTTCTTCCTTCATGTCTGCAGGAGGTCTCCCCTGGTCAAATCTTTATTATTTTTGAGGAAATCCATAGCTTTTCACTTCCTGTAGAAACAAAGGCATAATCGCTCCCCCAACACAACACATTTTCTGACTTCCATTCTGAAGTTAAGATATCCTTAAAATATATAGGCTGGTTTAATTCAGCAGTTTTTTCTATAATCTGATATCTTTTAGTAGCTGTTGTTTTAGCTTATTATCAATTACAATTTAAAGTTAATAAAGAACTGTATAAGGTCCAATTTTTCTGTGTTATGGTATTTCCCATCCTAACATAATTTGTTCTTTTTATATTATTTTATTTTCCCTTTAAAGACTTTATTTTATTATTTTAAGCTATATTTTTCTATGACTGTCTATATTCACTTTCTTTTCTTTCATTAGCTAAATACATTTTTAAGTATACTGTACCTATTCAGAGGTTTTATGTCTGGACCCGGCTTTCTGCATACCTGCAGCCTTCTCTGCTGGTGTCTGGCTCAATCCAGCTAGGGTACATCCAGCAGGCTACCCCCACTAATTCTGGGTTGCAGCCACTGCTTGCCCTTCTGTGAGGGCCGAGCTTCATGCCTGTGGACACTGGCCAGGAGCCATGCCTGCCTGTCCTGGAATGTTGCTGGGCCTGCAGGCTTTTCTCCCTAGTCTGCCACTGAGAGCAGTGCTGGGCTGCTCAGCAGGGCCTCCCAAAGGAGATGCTCCTCTGTAGGCCAGCATCAGCATCAGGCCTGGAAGCTACATCAGGCTCCATGTCTGAACTTTTCTCAGCTTTCTCTGGCCCTATGCTTGGATATTTGTGTCTCCATATTGGATGCCAAGTGTAGCAGTCTCCCTTTGGACCACCAACTCCTGTGTAATGACACGAAGATTTCTTATTAAGTATGAAAGCTTGGCCTTATCTTAGGCTTGTTCCCAACTAGCTCTTAAAACAAATTAACCCATTTATATTAATCTGCATTCTGCCATGTGGCTCTCGTTACCTCTCCTCATTATCACACATCCACTTCTTCTGCATCTGGCTGAAGAATCTCCCATGCCTCAGATTCTCTCCCTGGAAGTCCTACTTATCCTCTCTGCACGAGATCCTGCCTGCAAGAGAAAAACAGACACATAACATTTGGCCAGGTCTTTTGTTCTTTAATGTGTGCAGGTGTTTTGCTTACATAATGTCTGTATACCATGTGTGTGCTTTTGTTCATGGAAGTCAGAATAGGGCATTGGATCCCTGGAACTGGAGTTACAGGAATTTGTTAGTTGCCACGTGGGTTGTGGGAACCAAACCCATGTCCTCTGTAAGACAGTAAGTACTCTTAACTGCTGAGCCACCTCTCCAACCCCTGATCAAATCCTTTTACTGCCAGCGACTCCCACCAGGGAGAGCTGGAATATAGGGGAGATGCAGCAGCAACCAGAAGAACAGAGGGCAGTCCTTACATCTGTAGACTTTCCAGGGGAAACATCTGCGCAGAGCTCAGAGGGGTCGCTGAGGTTAGAAGGCTCTAAATGGATCTTTATAGCAAAGTTTAGGAATTGAATCATTTGCCACCCTCTGCTTTGGTACTGGGACATGCTAGGGATCTAGAAGCGAAGGAAGGTACTAGAAGGATTATAAGACATGACTGGTGCACTCTACAGGGGCAGCTTCTCTGAGCCGTCTCCACGGCACTTAAGAAAGCAGTTTAACATGCTAAAATGGGGAGGATGACATTAAGTTTTTGTCTGTCTGTTTTAAGACAGGGTTTCACTATGTAGCCCTGGCTGGCCTAGAACTTGCTGTATAGATTAGGTCTCAAACTTAGAGAGAGCATCTGCCTCTGCCTGCCCAGTGCTTGGATTAAATGTATGTGCTACCGAGCCCAGCAATATTTAGCCTTTAAGTTTAGGCTTATAATTCATTTAGAGTTATTTTTTTCTATACACTATGAGGCATGGATGAAGACTCACTTTTGTTCTGTTTTAATGGGTCTTTAATCTTCTAGTGCCATTTTTGTTGTTGTTTGAGACAGGAACTCACTATGTAGCCCTGGCTGTCTTGAACTCACAGAGCCCTGCCTGTCAGCCTCCCAAGTGCTGGGGTTAAAGATATACCACCATGCCCAGCTCTATATTTATGACTGCATGTATGCTTACCATATAGGTGCAGTGCCTCTAGAGACCAGAAGAGGGCATCAGAATCCCTGGAACAAGAATAAGAACAGAAATGAGTGGCCCTGTGGATTTGGGAACCCAACCTGGGTCCTTTGAAAGAGCAGCAGGTGTCCTTAACCCCTAAGCCACCTCTACAGCCTTATTTTTTAACACATATTTCCTGGTGCTTTATTGGATTTTAAGGTTTTTGTAAATTCAAATTCAAAATCTACCTATATCTTCATATAAATAGAGAAACTTAATAACAAAGTCTATTTGGCAAAGTAATAATAAAAATAGCAAAGCCGGGGCTGGAGAGATGGCTCAGTGGCTAAGAGCATTGCCTGCTCTTCCAAAGGTCCTGAGTTCAATTCCCAGCAACCACATGGTGGCTCACAACCATCTGGAATGAGGTCTGGTGCCCTCTTCTGGCCTGCAGACATATACACAGACAGAATATTGTATACACAATAAATAAATAAATAAATAAATAAATAAATAAATATTTAAAAAAAAATAGCAAAGCCCCAAATTCCTTTTTTATGAAGGTGTTGGGGATTTGGTATGCATATTTTTTCCTAGAAACCCCCCCCCCCCCCCCCCCCCCCCCCACACACACTTCCTTCCTCTCTGACAGCCCTTGACTCTCAGTCGCGTTTTAGGTGCAGGCTGACAACGAACAAGCTGCAGAAGCGGAGTGAAACGATCCGTGTGTTTGATTTGTTTGTTCTGGTTGTTTGCACCATATTTAGTACTGTTTGGTCCCTGGATGGATGTTACCAGGATCATCTATATCATGTAGTAGAATATTTTAGTTTTTCCCCCCCAAAGACATATTTTTAGGGGTTGGCAACTTTCACCCTCCGTGGGTGAAAGCACTTACTGCCACGTCTGACCACCGGACCGGAATCCTTGGTCCCCTGCTGTGGAAGGAGAGAACTGACTTTTAAAAGTCGCCCTACACTAAAATAAATGTAATACAATTTTTAAAAATCGCACAGGAGGCTAGGTGTGGTGGCCTGCATTTCTAATCTCAGCACTCAGAAGGCAGAGGCAGGCAGGTAGATCTCTGTGAGTTCAAGGCCAGTTTGGTCTACAACTTGTATTCTAGGCCAGACAGTCCCTGTCTAAAAAAAAAAAAAAAAAAGCACAGTACAGGACCAGCCCTTGCAGAAGGTCTTGTACTTGATAGGCTGAAGTACTTGCCTCTGAGTTTTCTTCCATTGTTTTTTTCCCCCCACAAATCGCATGAATATTCTTGTTCCAAAACCTGAATGTAGGCAGTTTGCACTCCTGCTGGGTGTCTACTCTGCATCTCCTGGAATCTGGCCAGATCCGAGTCTGACCTCTTGATCTTTAGCAACAGTGCTGCCAGAACGGGTATTCCTCTGCCAGATATCCCTGGAATGGATGGAAATGAGGTCCCCATGACGATGTCCATGCCCAAGGCACCTCTTGTCCTCGTGGTGATCATAAGCCATGCTCTGCGGACATGGTGCTGGGCAAGGCTGATGGAGAAGCTGTGGCCTCCGGCAGCTTCAGCTTCCTGAGGCATTTTAAGTAGACGAAAGGAAGAATAGTTTGGATCAAAGATGAAAGGAGGAATAGTTTGGATCAAATTGAATGTTCTAACCAGAGTCTCTGATTACAGCATTGCCTCACTCCCAGAGTTCTCCAGCCGTCAGCAGCACCTGCACTAAAGTGCTCTATTTCACTGACCGGTCACTCACGCCCTTCATGGTCAATATACCAAAGAGGTGAGATGCTCAAGTCATTACTTCACTGTAAAGACAAGAAAGGAAGGAGAAAGGGAGGGAGGAAGGGAGGGAGGGAAAAAGGAAGGGAGAGAGGGAAGGAAGGAAGGAAGGAAGGAAGGGAGGGAGGGAGGGAGGGAGGGAGGGAGGGAGGGAGGGAGGAAGGAAGGAAGGAAGGAAGGGAGGAAGGAAGGAAGGAAGGAAGGAAGGAAGGAAGGAAGGAAGGAAGGAAGGAAGAGAGAGAGAGAGAAAGAGAAAGAAAGGGAATCCATTACTGCCAAATGAGCAGCTTTTGCAGAAAGAAAAGCCCAGGCCATTAGAGATTCTAGTTCTAATTTGCTAGGTTTTGGGTGTTTTTTGTTTTTTGAGACAAAGCTTTACTATGTAGCCTTGGCTGGCCTAGAACTCTCTGTGTAGACCAGGCTGGCACCCAGATGACAGAGATCCTCCTGCCTCTGCCTCCCAAGTACTGGGATTAAAGATGTGCACACCGCACCCGGAAACCACTGGCATTATTAAGGACAAACAGGATCTACTGATAGGCACAGGAATTAATAATCATATGTTGTTTTGATTTATTTATTTATTTTTTATACAGTGTTCTGCCTGCATGTATGCCTGCAGGCCAGAAGAGGGCACCAGATCTCATTACAGATGGTTGTGAGCCACCATGTGGTTGCTGGGAATTGAACTCAGGACCTTTAGATGAGCAGGCAGTGTTCTTAACCACTGACCCATCTCTCCAGCCCTCTCATATGTTGTTTTGTTTAACTTGTTGAGACATGGTCTCACTTTGTAGCTCTGGCTGACCTGAACAAGACCTTGTCTTGAACTCACAGAGATCCACCTGCTTCTGCCTCCCAAGGGCCACCACACCTGGCCCCACGGGAACAGAAATTGTGCTTCTTGTCCCGATAGCTATACAAATATGCTCCAACGTTGTGAAAACTGTTTCTTTTAAGTATTCAAAACAGCTCCTTCTGGTAGCCATGACTTCTACCATGGCCTCTTGGGCATTTACTTGTCAGTGTTTATTACTGTGTGCTAATGATGATGGCAACTCCTGCCTGCAAGAATTTATGTGGAAAATGTTCAAGAACCTCAGTACAGTATACTTTCTCCCAGTGAAATAAATACACCGCAAGGGGCCTGGGGATATACCTCAGTGGTAGTGTGCTTGTCTTGCAATGCGTAAGGCAGTAAACCCAAGAACTAATGGCTGAGAGAGGCTGAGGTTCTTCTCTCAGAGTCTGCTCATATGGACTGGACTGGGCAGAAGCAAGCTTTCTCAATCCAGAGGAACTGCTGATCCTTAAGCTGGGTGGCACATACATGTAATCTTAGAACCTGGGAGGCCTAAAACAGGGCTGTTAATTTGAAGTCACCTTAGGTGGCATAGCAAATTCAAGGCAAGTTTGGGCAAAGAGTAAGACCCCGTCAAAACAAAAACAAACAAACAAACCCTACCTGATGAATTTAACTTTATCATCCTAAGAAAACTGGACTATTATTTTATGGTAGAAACCCAGAAAACTTAAGTGTATTACATATGGTTATTCTACATATTTTATTTTAAATACCTTATTTTCAAATTAAAAAAAAAGCAAAAACAATGAATTCAAGCTGTCTGATCACCTGAGGTATGATGCCACAGTCGTTCTTAGTGGTTGCCCAACCTCTGCTATTTTAGTGACATTGGTTATCAGGAGTCGTGACCTAGTATTAAAGCAATGCTCTCCCTGCCTGTTGACTTTGGCAGGGGCCTGGATTAAAAGCTAACACATTGCCTTTCCAGCCTATTGATTAGCAGGCTATTTTGATACACTCTTCTTTTGTTACAGGTTGGGGGAGGTGACACTGAAGGATTTTAAAGCAGCTATTGATCGAGAAGGGACTCACCGGTATCACTTCAAAGCACTGGATCCCGAGTTTGGCACCGTCAAAGAAGAGGTGAAGAATCCACGGGCAGTTGGGGGAGCATTACTGGTCACTCCTTAACTAGCTCTTCTCTCTATTGCTATGAAAAGACACTGTGACCAGGGCAATTCTTACAAAGGAAAGCATTTAGCTGGGCCTTGCTTTTAGTTCAGAGGTTTAGTCCATTGTCATGGCAGGAAGCATGGTGGCATACAGGCATGCTTGGTGCTGGAGAAGTAGCTGAGAGTTCTACATCCAGATCTGCAGGCAGCAGGGAGAGAGAGACACTGGGCTTGGCTTGGACTTTTGAAAGCTCAGAGCCTACCCCCAGTGACACACTTCCTCCAACAAGGCCACACCTAGCCCAACAAGGCCACACCTCCTAATCCCTCCCAAGTAGTGCCACTCCTGAATGACTAAGCATTCAAACACATGAGCCTATGGGGGGGCATTCCTATTCAGACCACCACAGTTCCCCTCAAGGATCTCAGAAATTATGGGATGTTCAGTTGATGGATCAACTGCTTTAAGTTCCATAGAATAGACCCTGATGTTGACAGCTTTGTTAGTTACAGGACTGAATATTTTATTTTTTTGTGTATGAGTGTTTTGTTTTCATGTATGCCTGTGGACCACATGTATGTATGGTGCCCAGGGAGGCTAGAAGAGTGTTGGATCCCCTGGAACTGGACTTATAGGTAATTGTGAGCTGCCATGTAGGTGCTGGGTAGCAAACCTGGGTCTTCTGGAAGAGTAGCCAGTGCTCTTAATCACTAAGCCATCTCTCTAGTTCTAAGGACTGATATTTTTGTTTGTTTTGTTTTTAGAGACAGGGTTTCTCTGTGTAACAGTCCTGGCTGTCTCGGGACTCACTCTATAGACCAGGCTGGCCTTGAACCCACTGAGATCTGCCTGTCTGCCTCCCAACTGCTGGGATTAAAGGTGTCCACTACCACTGCTCAGCCCCAATCATTTTTTTAAGTAAAAATTTGGATAGAATATTTATTTAAAAAAAAAAGAAATAGTGTTGTTAATTAAAGTAAAACCCCAAGACAGGGGCAGGTATTAACATTTACTGTCCCCTCCATGCAAAACGCAGGTCCACAAGCAGCGTCTTCTATCTGTATCCAGTTGTCACAAAACTTTAAAGATTTTTACATTTATTTACTTACTACATGTGCGAGAGTGGATGGTTGTGAGTGCGTTTGTAGAGGTCAGAAGACACCTCCAGGAATTGGGTCTCTCCTATCATGTGAGTCCAGGGGATTAGACTCAGGTTGTCAGACTTGAAGACAAGTGTCCTTATCTGCTCGGTCACCTCACCAGCCCTTAGAAAACATGTTCCTGCTAAGTTTCAGACCCAGACAAACAGCTGAGGTGCCTATTTAACATTGGAAGGCTGGACCCATCTGCCAGGTTCTCCCAACATCCCTCAGTCCCTACCTGTTTCAGGGTATGACTGGCACGTCCCACTCTCCAGCCCAGGACTTTGGGCTGCCCTTCCTGTATAGGCTCTTCCCTATAGAATCCCACACTGGTGTGCCAGGAAGCTTCCTGTCACCCTGCTGGGGTCCCATCATGTGGAAAGGGACGTCTCTCCTCTGACATGTCTCTCAGTCTGCTTGGGGACACCTTGGATTGAAATTCTTGTTAACAGACACTTATCCCTCTGCTCCCTCATGGCTCCTCAGCTCCTTCCTGGAACTTCCTCACCTCCCCTAGGAGCTGCCTGTGTGTTCCTGGGATGGTGACCCATTCCTTGCCCCTTTGTCCTTTTCTCCTTGGACTCAATTCTCTTCTCCAACTCAGAGATTTTCTTAAAAGTCTTGCTGTCTTACTGAAAATCACCCGGCCTCAGTATAGCTCCATAGCCAAAGATGGCGACTGAGTTCCAAATTCTCACAAATTGTAACAACTTCTGCCACCACACATAGGAGAATTTTCTTTGAGCCCTCAGCTCACAAAAAAAAAAAAGGACTTATTATTAATTGTGAAAGCTCAGACTATATCTTAGGCTTGTCCCACTAGTTCTTATAAATGAGATTAACCCATTTATATTAATCTATGTTTTTTTCCTTTGGCTTTTTATTTCTCTTTTATCTTGTACCTCCTGTTTCTTCTCCCAGTCCTCTGGAGTCTCTTCTGTGCCTTAATGTTGCTCCTCTTCTCCTCTCTCTGCCCAGAAGTCCGGCCTAACCTCTTCTTGTCTAGCTGTTCCCACTCAGCTCATTATTAAACCAATCCGCAGGCACCTTGGCAAAGACACATCTTTACAGTGTATAAAAATATTATTCTACAACAACCACACAAGCAAATGATCCCAAAGTCTCTTAATCTCTTGTTTCTATAACTTTCCACTCTTAAATCTTTTATCTTTATGATTTCTCTGGGCTTTGCACTCAAGAAATCTTTTAAGACTATTGTATAAACAGTCTTTATCTCAGGAACAATTTGTAAATTCATTGGGTGTGATTAAAGAATATGTAAAATCTGTAACAAAATTTGGCTTAAAACTGAAAGCAAAAGGCTTATAGTAACCTATAGGTACGAGTTTTAATTATAAGCCTTTTGTTACAAGTTTAAACCCAAATTTGTTACATACCCCATGAGCAACTTACACTTGGTTTTCCTACAGAACAGAAAAACTGTCAGGCAGGAACAGGCAGTGCTATACCTGTCATAGTGGAAAGTCCTGGTAGTAAAAACAAGGCGTGTTTATTTTCCTAACTGTGGTAGTTTGAATGTAATTGGCCCCCATAAACTCGTAGGGAATGGCTCCATTAGGAGGTGTGGCCTTGTTGAAGTAGGTGTGGCTGTAGGACCCAGTCATGACAAAGTCAATAGAGGCTGAGTCTCAGTAGTTTACCCTGAGGTGATACCTGGTTCCCATAAAGACCACAAACTGAGACCACCCAGGCACCATCCAGGAATAGACATCCAAAAGAAAAATTCCCAACATTACAACCGTTGTAGATAGGACCACCTGCCAGCACACACCCTTTGCTTTTCACCAGGACACCCCTAGACAAATGTCAGCCAATCAAGGGTCCTGAACTTTAGAAATCCCTCACCCCCACTTTTGCTACTATTAAAACCCAACTCTGAGCTTGGGGCTCTCTGATCACCCCAATACGCTGGACACACGGAGAGACTGAGTTTGCAAACTTGTAAGAATAAAGGCTCTTGGCTTTTACATACAGGACTCGGTCACTAGTTGGTTTTAGGAGAACTCCGTGATCTGGGCAGAACAGTGACCTTGATGAAAGGAAATATGTCATGGTGGAGGCAGGCTTTGAGGTCTCTCTCTCTTTTTTTAATTGTTTTTATTGAGTTATATTTTTTCTGCTCCCCTCTCTTTTTCTCCCCTCCCCTTCTACCCTCTTCCATGGTCCCCGTGCTCCCAATTTACTCATGAGATCTTGTCCTTTTCTCCTTCCCATATGGATTAGATCCATGTGTGTCCTTTGAGGTCTCTCTTCCTTAAGGTTTTCTCAGTGTCACAGGCACTTCCTGTTGCCTTCTGATTATGATATAGCCGTACCACATCTGCCTGCGGGCTGCCATGCTCCCTGCCATGATGATAGTGGACTGAACCTCTGAAACTGTCAGCAAGCCACCCTGAATAAATGTTTTCCTTCATAAGAGTTTCTGTAGTCATGGTGTCTCTTCACAGCAGTAGAAACCCTAAGACTCCAACCCTTGAATATTTTCTCAGCCTACGGATCTCCTTATCACCCATTTTCCAAATACAACCCTTCTTTGAACAAGAAATTTCTAGGTTCTGATATATTATCAAAAATCATTGTGGTTATAGTATAGAAAAAATTGAAGTCTTTTAACATTTATTTTTATGTGTATAATTATTTTGTCTGCATGTATGTGTGTGTACCACATTCATCCCTAGTACCCAAATAGGGCCAGAAGATGGTATCAGATTCCCTAGAACTTGAGTTATAGATGGTTGTGTGCTACCATGCAGGTGCTAGGAATTGAACTGGGGGTCCTCTGCAAGAGCAACCAGTGCTCTTAACTGCTGGGCCATCTCCTGTCCCTGGTCTTCTTTCTACCCCTTTTTATAGAATGCTGGTACCAAAATATTCTCCTTTCTTGTTCTTTAAACACATATGCTATTGCTTTCTCCTAGTAAGGCCAAATTGCTTTGGGGATTGCAATTTACTGTTCTTATAAACATCCATGAGTGAAATAGTGTTAAGAGTGTTTTTATCTCCCAAAATTAGAAAAAAAGTGTGTGTTACATGATATATGGTATGATATATATGCATATATCATATATCACACACATATAGATCTAGAACCAAAGACATAGCCTAAGTAATTCTTTTATACTTTCTTAATGTTTAAAGTCTTATGTTTTAGATTTTTTATTATATTAAAATTTTCATGTGGGGCTGGAAAGACGGCTCAGTGTTAAGAGTGCATACTCTTGTAGCATTCACACTAGGTGGCTTACAACCTCCTGTAACTCCAGCTCTAGGGCATCCAGTGCTTTTGGCTTTGCAGGCACCCGTACTCATGTGCACATACCTACACACATGCATATAGCTACACACACTCATACATGTAATGAAAAATAAATCTTAAAAAATAATATTTGTGTGTGTTTGTTTTCCAAGTCAGAGACAACTTGTGGAGTCAGGAGTTGATTCTCTCTGTCCATCATGTGGGTTCCGTCACTGAATTCAGGTCATCAGGCTTGTGACAGTGTCTGTTCACTGAACCATCTTACCAGTAGTGTTGCTTAAGGACACTCTGAAGTCTCTGCTCTGTTGAGATGGGGTGTCACACTGTGACCCAACCTGGCCTGGAACTCATAGATGCCCCCCTGCTTCAGCCTGCTGGGCACTCAGTTCCAGGCATGCACCACATTCCAGGCTGTGTTATTCCATTGTGGCCTTTTTTTTTAACCTAGGTTTTCCATGATGACGATGCCATCCCTGGATGGGAAGGGAAAATTGTGGCCTGGGTGGAAGAAGATCATAGAGAGAATTAACTGGACCTTGGACACTCCCTGGCTGCTTCTCTCAGGAAAGAGGACTAACACCAGAGTACGCTGAGAAGTTTCTAATTCATGCTGCCAAACAGAAGCTTCTTCAAGTATGATGGTCATGGGCCAGTCCTGTTTGTGTGCCTGGCATATCTAGTACTTAAAATCTGTCAAAACACAGACCATGGGTTCATCTGGAGCTCCTTGTCCGTGGAAACAGTGTTTTATTCTACTCTGAGGACACCAAACCGAAGGCCTTAACCACCAGGGATGGATGAGCCCTCTCTTGTAGGGGCATGGCTGCTATTATCTGGAACCTGGAAATGTATGCATCTCTCCTTCATGTTACAGTGTTCATTTAATTGGCCTCAATGGTTGCAGCAATCAGAGTCTCAGCATCTGTGCTCACAGACACGGCAAAGGTACCAACTTTTCTGCCTCTTGGCAGACATTGCAAACCAGAAGTAGCTCATGAAGTGGTACCAAAGATGAAAGACCAGGAAATGGATGATGCTGACTTGTTGATTGGGTTGGGGAAGGGTTGCCCATAGTGTGCTATACTATGCCAAAACTATAATTAGGACCTTGGGCTGCCTCTTCTGGTTTTAACTGATTCTGCAGCTTGTTCTTAGCCCATTCAGGGCATTTTTTCACGAACTGCTGGTTTTCTCTGGGGACTCTTTAACTTTAGAGCCATTTTATTTTTCTCCAAACAGATGACTGTGTTTGAAAAGAATAAGAAGCAAGAGGCTCCTTAAACATCCAGGAGGACACGGAAAGGTGCTGCTGTCCATTTCTCTGTGACTCAAACTCATAGCATCTCCTTTGCATTGCAAGGGGACAGACCATTAATTTGTGTTTGTGATTTGAGCACTGAGCACGACTTACTGGTCTGCTTCTCATTTCACGGCTGGAGTTATTTTCTGTTCCACACTCAGCCTGGGCTGTTCCTTTAGGGCACAGTGGAACCCACGGGGCACGGAGCATGAGTTGTGAATGGCAGGGTCGATTCAAGTGAGCAGTCATTTCTCATTGCAACATTGTCCAGTATAGAAGCTGAAGAGTTCAACTTCCAGAGGTTCCTCAATAACTTGGGTTTTCTCATTCACGCACCTCGCACCATCCACCAGTCAGTCATGATTATCTATTTATATAGTCCCTCAAAGCGGTCTGCAGCCACCACTGTACACTGCCAAACAGAAGAGCGGAATAGATGGGTCAGTCCGGGGATCTGCCTCTCTGTTCATCTCCCATTTTCAGCCATTTGAACAGACTACTCTTTGGAACTCTGAGATAACATCTTATTGTTTTATATAGACATGTCTTTTAAAAATAATTCATGTTTGAAAATTGCTTTGTACTCATTTGCTTTTGTCTGAGAACCATGTCTATTTTTATAACTCACGTGTGATTTCAGTGTAATCTCCCATTCCCTGTACTCTGTTGATTTTCTAGAGTGCCCAATAGCTTTTCTACAGTCTCTTCTTACCACCTCTTGTGGTTTCAGAACAAGCTTTATTTTGTTACAAGTACACTAATGGCAGTCGATTTCTGTCCAATTCTCCCTGCTGTTTTAGTAATGGAGTTGTTTTGTTTTTGTTTTTGTTTTTTTAGTCTAGTTGATTGCTCTTCTAAAAGACATGAGATCAAAAAGACCTCTCAAAAAGAAAGTCTTTCATGTTCGCTACCCTGGTCTTCTATTGAAGAACAATTTTTCATCAGCTGTAACTAGGAAAGTTTGGGAAAGTCAGCCATAAGCAAGGGACAACTCATTGTGGAAGCCAACAAAGAAAACAGTATTATTTCCATTTTTTCTCAAGATGACTAGAGGGAATAAAAGTTCGTATATCACCAATTTCTCTGTTGCATGAATTTTAATGTTTTGCTATTTGACAGCATGAAGGTGACCAGGCTAAACTTCGGTACTGTAGTCCAATTTACCTGGAATGTCTGTCTCTTAAACCAGATTTCCCTTCTCCATTTTCTTTCAACAAACAGTCTTGACATTATGTGGAATTAACTTTTCAGCAAAAATTAAATCAGAGAAAAAGCTTCAAAGTCCTCTACATTGTGTTTTATTTTTTATCACTTTTTGAAAAAGGAGCCACATGGCCTTAGTGGCTACATAAAAGCAGAGGTTGGAAATGGGGAGAAGATCGTGCACTAACCTCATCTACCATGGGCAAAATGGCCAAGCATCTCTGCTGGAGGATGTATTCATCAATCCCTGTACATTCCAAACCAGGGATCCTTATTCCAGCCCAAGATGCTGGAGTCTTCAGAGCAGGAGCAAGCATGAATCCATTCTGTTCTCAATAATCTCCTATTTGGCTACACTCCATGACAGTGGTTCTCAACTTGTGGGTCATGACCCCTTTGGACATTAAAGGAATCCAAGGGGTCGTCTAAGATCATCAGAAAACATGAGTATTTACATTACTATTCATAACAGCAGCAAAATTACAGTTGCAAATTATCAATAAAAATATGTTTCTGTTGTTTTTCTCTTTTTACTCTTTGGACTCTTTTGGGTTTTTTTTTGGGGGGGGGAGCACCACCCAGCTCCTAAATAAATCACACACAGAGGCTTATTCTTAATTATAAATGCCAGGCCTTAGCTTGGCTTTTTCCAGCCAGCTTTTCTTAAATTATCCTGTCTACCTTTTGCCTCTGGGCTTTTTCCATTTCTTTACCTCTGTATATCTTACTTTCACTCTTACTCCATGGCTGGCTGTGTTTCTGGCCCCGCGTATCCTCCACTCCTCCTTTTCTTGCTCCTTCCTTCTCCTCCCAGATTTCTCCTTTTGTTTATTCTCTGCCTACCAGCCCAGTCTATCCTCTCTCCTATATTGCTATTGGCCACTCAACTCTTTATTAGACCAATCAGGTGTTTAGACAGGCAAAGTAACACAGCTTCACAGAATTAAACAAATGCAACATAAAAGAATGCAACACATCTTTGCATCATTAAACAAATCTTCCACAGCATAAACAGATGTAACACATATTAAAATAATATTATGTGACACTTTCCTGGTTGGAGGTCACCAGAATATGAGGAAGGAAGTTAATAAAGGGTTGCTGCATTAGGAAAGGTAAGAACCACTGCTCTAGGAGAAGTTGTAGCTTAAAAATATTGTTCCACACCAATTGGCCGGTCCATTCTGCTATTGCTGACATTCTTTCCATGGGAAAACTACACTAGAATGTTAGGAGTCCTAAAATAATCGCTTAACCATCTTTTTTTAAACGTAAGATGGGCATACTGGCTCAAGTCTTTAATCCCAGCACTGGGGAGGCAGAGGCAGGCGGACCTCTGAGTTCTACAGAGTGAGCTCCAGGACAGCCAGGGCTACACAGTGAGATCCTGTCTTGAAAACAACAATAAAATGTACTCATGTGCAGAAAAGAACCTATACACACACATCTGTATATACACACACACACACACCTGTATCTACACGCACATGCCTGTATCTACACGCATACGCCTTTATCTACACGCACACACCTGTATATACACACACTTGTATCCACACACACACACCTGTACCTACACACACACACATCTGTATCTACACGCACACACCTGTATCTACACGCACACACCTGTATCTACATACACACACCCATATCTACATGCACACACCTGTATACACACAAGTAAAAATAATAAAAATAAATCTTTAAAAAGACCTCATAAGCACTAATTTAGTTATTTAAAAACTGAAGAGTAGCCTCTTCCTGCTCAAGTCCCTAAATCATCTGGGTTGGAATGCTTTACAGTTTGTACCTACCTAAAGGTTCTGCCTTGGTGACAGACATATGCCTATACTTCCAGCATTTGGGAGGCTGAGGCAGGAGGAGTACCAGGTTGATGCTGGGCTACATAATGAGATCTGTGTCTGGAGAAAAAGAAAAAGAGAGAGGGAGGGAGGGAGGGAGGGAGGGAGGGCGGGAGGGAGGGAGAATGGAATCTGGGTTAGATACAGTGGGCAGCAGCAATGCTCTTTACAGGCCAACTCTTCAGGTCTTTTGACTGGGATGTAAGTAGGAAAAGCTCTTTATGTACTGAAAAGCATTCTGGTTATAATTGAAAATTTCATTTTTACTCATAAGCATCATGATTGCACTCTTATTTGTCGAACTAGTTAAGAAGTATAGCTTGCTTAAAATGAACACACACAGGGTTCTATTTTCTTAGAAAATGGACATTTGTAACCACTGTTTCCAGAGATTATTATTCTCTTTTACAATGCATTCACCAAAACTTTGGTAGTCCAGAGGTTTCTGATTATCAAAGTGATAGCCAGTTTTAATCCTTGCATGTACCAGAATCGTGAACAAGTCAAAACCACACGCACACACTATGAATAAAATGGAGTTTACAAACTAAATCCATTTCATCATTTTCGTTTATGTCTCTTCACTGAGATCAGTCAGTAAAGCCATTTACATCTAGTGGAGGCAATCTCCTCAAGTGATCTCCCTGGTAGCATGTTTACTCACTATCAGGAGGGTGGAGATTAGGGCAGTTTTATTGCTAGAGATACTTTGCTGTCAGTAAGCACAAGATAGATTATTATAAAAAAAAAAGACTAGTTAGTTTTGAAATCATATGGAAATGTACAGACACATAAGAACCTGAGAGTATAAACTGCATGGTAACATTAATCTTCAAGTGCAGCATGAACCCTAATTAGCTCAGAAGTGTAGAAGCCTGAGTCCTGGACGCTGTGCATGCTACACATGCTTTCTATCACTGCACCACTCAGGACCCCAGGCAGAAATGAGTTCTTATTTATTTTTCTATTTTGAAACAGCATCTCACTGTTATCCAAACGGATAGGTTCAGATGATTAATCATTTTCCTTTAGGCTAGAACTAGACTATTGGCATGAACTACCACCCTAGCCCAGAAATTAATACTTAAAAAAGAATCCGAATTCAAAAATCAGTTTAAAGGCTGCCTCCCCCAAATTCAAGCAGGCTTCATTTATCACTGATGTTATTGATTTAAATGATATTTCAATCTTCCGTTTTGAGTGCTTTCACTTGACTTCTGGTTACATACCTTCAACTTTGTTCTGTTCTGTTGGAGACAGGGTCTCACTGTGTAGACCTGGCTGGCCTGGAGCTTGCTATGTAGACCAGTCAGTCAGTATAGCCTGGAAATCACAGAGCTCCACTTGCCTCTGCATCACAACAGCTAGGATTCAAAACAAAACATGTTGAAATAGGAGCTGCGGGGCTGCGTCCCCAGCACCCCGGCTGCCTGCTAGCTTATGCCCGAAATAACAACACACAAACTGTATTCATTTAAGCACTGCTTGGCCCATTTCTATCTAGCCTCTTCTAGGCTAATTCTCGCACCTGGACTAGCCCATTTCTAATAGTGTGTGTAAGCACCCCAAGGTGCGCTTACCGGGAAGATTCTAGCCTACGTCCATCCTGGGTCAGAGCTGCCTGGGAGAGCGGAGCCTGGCGTCTCTGCTCCAGAGAGCAGAGCTGTAGAGTCTGAGCTCACTTCCTTTTCCTCCCAGCATCCTATTCTGTTTACTCCTCCCACCTATCAGGGCAAGCAGTTTCTTTATTTAATTAACCAATGACCTTCCTCCATCAAAAACAAAACAATTAAAAAAAAAAAGATAGAGTCCATGTAGGTAGCCCAGATGGCTGGCTACACTAAGCTAGAACAGAAGTCATGCACCACCACGCTGGCTATCAGATTAGCTTTTTTTCCTCCAATTTCTTCTGTGTTCTTGGTGTTCTCTGAGCATCTGTTAATGGAGGAATCAGTATAAATACAGCACATGTGTCCCCCTAATCTAATGTCACCTTCAGCTCAGAAATGATGAGGTTTTCTACTTATATAACCATACAATGAATGAATGTTTAATAAATGTTGCACATAAATTGTTGGTCAATAACTCAAAAGTCATGCATGTAGAATTGTTGTTACTATACTAAGAAGACAATGAGAAACAATGGATTAAATTCCTGAACTGCCTAACAGATTAGCTTTGCTGTAAAATAAAGTGACAAGTCACTTAATGATGGTTTGTTAATGACCTATACAGCATACAAAGATGACCCTCCCATTAAGGTTAGTCACGTGTTTGCGTTGCTCGGTGACACTGCAGCCACCACTGTTCATGTTAATGCAATCATTTTTTTTTTCAAGATAGGGTTTCTCTGTAGTTTTGGAGACCAACCTGGCCTCAAACTCCCAGAGATCCACCCGTTTCTGCCTTCCAAATGCTGGTATTAAAGATGTGTGCCACCACTGCCTGGCCAAATACAATCATTTCTATGGCAGGGCTCCTTTCTTCTGTTTGTGTTTCCAGATCCTGTGAGTTCTCACATGGTCCCCAGGTATAGAGGTATATAAAATTACAAGTAAAACATTTATTAAATAAATAAATTTCTTTAAAAACAATTCTTTGGCAGTTTCAGCAGTTATTAAAGATGAAATCAAATTTCTATACAATTAGATGTTCTTTGTTTTTACATACAGAATTAAATCTATAAAATACATCATGTATGTGTATGAAGTTTTTTAAAGGATAAGTTAAAAAGTTTTAAAGCCCCACCACCATAAATATAGTTTCTCCTCCATATCTATGAAAATTACACATCATGGGCTGGATGGAGAGAGACAGTCAGTGGGGTAGAGGTGTTTGCCACTAAACTTGATGACTTGAGTTTTATCCCTGGAATACACACAGTCAAAGAGAACAGACTCTCAAAAACTGCCCTCTGACATACATACACACACACACACGCACACACACACACACACAGAATAAGTGTAATTTATAAGTTAAAAATTACAAATCAAGAATTATGACATTTTTGGCACTCCTTCTCACAAAAAGTATTATAAGAACATAGTCTGTGGTGAGGCTCTGAGGAACCAGGCAATCCCATACAGTGTTGATGGGGAATACAAATGCTCTGGGGAAGAATATGGCAAGAATCTAACAAAACCACATATACATCTATTTTTATTCTACATATAGCGATATTATATGGTTCTAAACTTGTTATGAAGCCAAGGATGACCCTGAACCCCTGATTTTTCTGTTTCCACTTCCCAAATGCTGGGATTACAGTTTATCAGGTGCTAAGGATTGAACTCAGATTTTTAATTTTTATATGCATTGGTGTTTAACCTGCATGTTTTTGTGAGGGAATTGGATCCATAGGAACTCGAGTTACAAATGGCTGTGAGCTGCCATGTGGGTGCTGGGAATTGAACCTGAGTCCTCTGGAAGAGCTGCCAGTGCTCTTAACTGCTGAGCCATTGCTCCAGCCCCAAACTCAGGACTTGATGCATGCTAAGCAAACACTTTTCCAACTGGGTTACATTCCCAGCCCTAATATATTTTAAAATGTAATTATCCACTTGTATGTGTTGAATAGACATGGTCATTGCCATAGTATAATTTTGTTTGTTTGTTTTTGGAGACAGGGTTTCTCAGTGACAGAGAAACAGAACTAGCGTTGTAGA